CCACCAGGGAGGACCTTTTTTCTTTCTTTTAAAAAAAAAGATTCGTTTATTTATGCATACAAAACTGGGGTATAAGCCAGAGGCGCAGGGGTGATGAGAGGATTCACCAGAGACAGAGTAGGGAGCAGAACAGGCAGATTGGCGAAGTACACTGCTGAGGGGGGCAGCAGGCTGGTCAGGAGAGGTCTGCCGCGCCATGTGGATCTCCTCCTAGTGCTGCAGTGGCTGCGGCTAGCTTCATCATGCTGCTCTTTAACCTGGTGCACCACCATGGAGGACCCCACGATCTCATTTTATTTAGTACATGTCAGCAAGATATTTCAAAATCTTAGTTGTCATTATATAAATGCTCTCACTTAGTTTTGTAACTTCTTTAAACATGTAATCATTAAATATATCATCCCTAACTCTTAGCTAAAAATGATGGATCTCAAAAATGCCCCATATGATGAATACACCACTACAACCCACTTTTCATATTCCATTATTTTGGGGATCTTTTATATTAATCCAGATTGATATATTTCTGTCAAAATATAGTTCCTATATTTCCATTTTTTCTACAAGGAGATTATGAGAAATTGACAACTAGACTATGGCAGATACCTTTTTCACAAACACATTGGGAGAATAGCAAATGATCCTTTTTATTACTGGTTTTTGTTTGTTTTGTTTTAAAGATTTATTTATTTGTTTGTTTGTTTATCTATTTATTTATTTATTTATGCATACAAAACCGGAGTACAGGCCAGAGGTGCAGGGTAGGGGGGTGATATGATCCCCCAGAGACAGAGTGGGGAGCAGTAGGCGCGGGTCAGGAGAGGTCTGCCACGCCATGTGGTCACCTCTGGAGCAGGGATCAAACTCATGCCTAAGTGGCTTTATCTTCTTAGTGCTGTGCTTTTAACTTGCTGAGCCACCAGGAAGGGCCCTTTTTTGCTCTTTTTAATGCATATACTCAAGAGAAAGATTTCTATGTACTAGAAGCAAAATGAGCATGAAACTTAGTGATATATCACATGACCTTGCATTATAACCATGTTAAGGAGATAAAAAGAACTGCTAATAGCTGGAAGCTTTTATATGAACTTTCACTTGGGATCAGAGATAAAGCCTAGGACCTTAGTAAGAATGGGAACTTACAACTGAGATTTCTATATAAAGCTGATATCCACAACCTCATGGGGAAAAAAATCTCCATTCCTTGGCTACAGGGAAGTTCATTACAAAAGACTACAGGGAAATTTATTTCTGATCTTAAAATCTAGGTAGAAGGGAATAGTCTCCTATGATAAAACCCCAGTAGAAAACTTTTGATCTTCCAAGTTCTTATTACAAGAAAAAAAGATTGTAATTACTGGAGGTGATGTATATTAACTGAACTTATTGTGGTTCTCATTTTACACCATACACATTTATCTAAACATCATA